CGGGTGTCGTCGATGAAGCAGAAGACGCTTTCACTTCCAGAACACCTGGTCTTATTCGCCTTTTATCTTTTCAAGGGTCTCCATTTAAATATTTCCTTTGTTCATCTTTTGACTCAGTTTATCAATTTTATCGTAGGCGAAGTTCACGACCAGAAAGTCGAAATTGTCCCGCCTGGTGTACAGTAAGTAAGCCGTCCCTGATGGTCATGCTGTATATAAAGCTCAATGGACGTTGCTGAAGTAGGACAGTTTGTAGGGTACTTTATTTCAAGCACAAAAAAAGGTATATAAGACTGATGTTATCAATAGATGTTTTCTATTCAAAGACAGCACACCGTCGTTATATTTAAATATAAAAGTGAAGGACTTGACTAGGTGTTTATCTTCGATCTTGATAACCACATCAAAAAAGTCAACCTCACATGCAAATACATTATGGCACAATTCGGTCCTTTAATGCTGCAGTCTTATGGAATATCTTGCCGCGTAACTCAAGAAAGATATTGTCAACCAAAATCTCAGTCATTCTCAGGTAAGTATGCTATCATTACAGGTAAGTGGACAAACTATTACCTGCTAAAGTTCCACCTGTACCTGTACCAAACACCACAGCGTTTACTTTCCCACCTGTGAATAAAACATACAGCATTAGTACAAAAGATGTTACTGTAACAACACAATTACATAAAAGAACATGTATTCGTCTTGAATCGGATAAATCTGGAGAAAATGTACTCCGCCATATCAGCACTTGGTTCTTGTTGTCGTCGCTCCTTGACTGGTTCTACTCCATCAACCTTATATATATATATCCTTGTAAGTGAAACAGGAATTCAACTCTAACAATGTCAAACACACACTCGCAATGGATACTATAGAGCAACAACAGGAAGCAAGGGGAAGATATTAAAATAACAAGGAAGACATCTTTAACCCAAACAAAAGTTTGAAGGCTACCTGAGGTGTTCCAGAAGGATAGACGTTTACTACTCCACAAATTAGACCCGGGAAGTTATCCTCCATTATATACAGGCTACCAAATACCAAAGAAACAGGGAACATTTTTTAAAGCATGATATGTAATGAAATTTGTGATATCTTAATATTATTGGAGGGGCCGGTTTGTTACTACCGTCGAAAGAAACTCCAACTGTTCGTTTTTCCATAGATTTTAATAGTGATGTACCGTTTAACGACCAACATTATAGTAGCAACTTCTCAGTATTCCATTACTGAACTACCTTTTAATAGTCTGAGTGTTTAGCATCATTGGAGTATGCGTCAAGGTTGATTCGGGTATTTGTTAACTTTGATAGAACCCAACAATCTACAGTAGAGTTAATATTGAGGAAGTATCTATGAAGGTGAAGAATTCAGAACTTAAAGTTAATATTTTGTTACGGCTGAATCACTGTAAGCATTTACCAGAAGTAAGGCTAAGAGGCTAAATGAGATATGCTAACCTTAGGTGAATAGATATCAGAAGATATGTTATTACAAATTTTTACAGCATTATGTAGCATCAATACATGTCCTGTCTGAAAGGTTATGGCAATATCATTTGGTCGGACCACCCTGACATTAGGACTGACACACTCTTTCATACCTAGGGATCTAGGATACATTGGTTTCATCCCAGGGGTTTTTGAATTTAGGAAAGCCTAGAATTATGGTCCAACTTGAAAATCCTGAGGGTGGAGTTTATCTATACTTCATCCCTGGCCTGGGCATGAAAGGGTACTTTCTCTCATTCCATTTATCAGAAAAAGCATGAAAATGTTCTATGATTTGCTACCATTTTCCTTTGAGATTTTTAACTAGAAACGTCTAGCCCCCCTCCCCCTCCTCCTTTTTTAAGACGACACGCACCTGAATTGGAATGTGAGAAAGATTTGTTTACAGTCCTTTCTTGCCCATGACATGTCAATGATACACTAACAGGAATGAGAGAAAATAGGTCTCCTTGAAGGAAAGTCAGTTATAAATTCAACATATTAAAGTTCCCCAGCACGTTGCTATAACTCACCAGTTTGTTGCCAAATCTCCGGTCCTGTTGTCTCTATGTGGGCCCTCTTATTGGCAGTGTTGTCAAACTGGTTTGTCCACACGGCGTTCTCAAGACTTTGGGCAAATCTGTCGGCCTAATGGTAAACCACATTCGTCATTGGGTAGTCTCTATAAAAATATCTAAAGACCGGCAACTTCCACATATAGATCTATTACACCCCTGGCGCACATTTATACGCTCATAACTTTTGTAAGATAAATAGAGAAGGAAATAAACCTGAAGAGCCCTGTGAAGGGTTAAAACAGCTGGATTTTTAGTGGGTTGTTAGATATATTTTTTCTATACAAAAGTTATATTTACAAATATTGCGAAAGAGGTTTCTACATTTATCAAGCTTGTCAGCGGAAAATAAGAGTGGAGTATCTGAGAAATCGGTCAATGTAGGAAATAGTGGAGATTTCTGCTAAATAATGTGCTCCTACACAAATAGACTCCATCAGGAAACACGGGAGGATGATAAGGCTCGTTATTTTGATGTTAACATTTGTGCAGCATATTTATAATGTAGTTTTATTTTGAGAACTATGGTGATAAGTCACTATGAAATATAATATTACTGCTTGATAACCAGTTGAATAAGTAATAATTGTGAGCTTTCATACTTATTAAAATCATTATTTGTTTATTATTAAAAAAATATGAAACATTACGTAATGAATCGGTCAAAGTACGTGTAACTTCGGCACATAATAACGACAGTCAGCTACTCTTGTAATTACATAAACATCATCTTAGAATTGCAACGGAAGTTTGTTAGCGTAAAGCATGATAGGACTTCGAACATATCACATCATACATACCTGATGGTTGTAGTTATCTGGGTCAGTAAAGGGGACGACTGGTACGGATCGAACCTCAGCCCCGAGGGTTCTCAGACAGTCAATCTTTTCCTGGAACAAAATAGAAACCACATTGTCAATATCTACCGCTACACAAAATGAACCACAGTGTCAAACCATACAACGATACAAAACAACTACTGTGTCATACCCTACAACAACACATAACAACCAGTGTCATACCATACAACGATACAAAACAACTACTGTGTCATATCCTACAACCACACATAACAACGAGTGTCAAACCATACAACGATACAAAAAAACTACTGTGTCATACCCTACTACCACACATAACAACCAGTGTCATGCCATTCAACGATACAAAACAACTACTGCGTCATACCCTACAACAACACATAACAACCAGTGTCATGCCATACAACGATACAAAAAAACTACTGTGTCATACCCTACTACCACACATAACAACCAGTGTCATGCCATACAATGATACAAAACAACTACTGTGTAATACCCTACAACCACACATAACAACTTCTGTGTCACACCATACAACGATACAAAACAATTTCTGTAGCATACCTTAAAACCACACATAACAACCAATGTCAAACCATACAACGATACCACACAACTACTGTGGCATACCCTACAACCACACAGAAAAACCAGTGTCAAACCATACAACTACACAAAATGAACCACAGTGTCAAACCATACAACGATACAAGACAACTACTGTATCATACCCTACAACCACACATAACACCTTCTGTGTCAAACCATACAACGATAAAAAACAACTACTGTGTCATACCCCACAACCACATAACAACCAGTGTCAAACCCTACAACGATACAAAACATCTTCTGTGGCATACCCTCCTACCACACATAACAACCAGTGTCAAACCCTACAACGATACAAAACATCTTCTGTGGCATACCCTCCTACCACACATAACAACCAGTGTCAAGCCATACAACGATACAAAACAACCACTGTGTCATACCCTACAACGACACAAAACAACTACTGTGTCATACCCTCCAACCACACATAACAACCAGTTTCAAACCATACAACGATACAAAACAACAACTGTGTCATACCCTACAACGATACAAAACAACAACTGTGTCATACCCAACAACCAAACAAAACAACCAGTGTCAAACCATACAGCGATACAAAACAACTACTGTGGCATACCCTACAACCACACAGAACAACCAGTGTCAAACCATACAACGATACATAACAACTACTGTGTCATACCCTACAACCACACATAACAACTTCTGTGTCAAACCATACAACGATACAAAACAACTACTGTGTCATACCCTACAACCACACATTACAACCAGTGACAACCATACAACGATACAAAACAACTACTGTGTCGTACCATATAACGATACAAAACAACTACTGTGTCATATCCTACAACCACACATAACAACCAGTGTCAAACCATACAACGATACAAAACAATTTCTGTAGCATACCTTAAAACCACACATAACAACCAATGTTAAACCTTACAACGATACAAAACAACTACTGTGTCATACCCTACACCACACATAACAACCAGTGTCATGTCATACAACGATACAAAACAACTACAGTGTCATACCCTACATCCACACATTACAACCAGTGTCATACCATACAACGATACAAAACAACTACTGTATCATACCCTACAACCACACATTACAACCAGTGTCAAACCATACAACGATACAAAACAACGACTGTGTCATACCCTACAACGATACAAAACAACTACTGTGTCATACCCTACAACCACACATAACAACTAGTGTCAAACCATACAACGATACAAAACTACTGTATCATACCCTACAACGATACAAAACAACTACTGTGTCATACCCTACAGCCACACATAACAACCAGTGTCAAACCATACAACGATACCAAACAACTACTGTGGCATACCCTACAACCACACAGAACAACCAGTGTCAAACCATACAACGATACATAACTACTGTGTCATACCCTACAACCACACATAACAACCACTGTGTCAAACCTACAACCACAAATAACAACCACTGTGTCAAACCTACAACCACACATAACAACCATTGTGTCAAACCTACAACCACACAACAATCACTGTAGCAAACCTACAACCACACATAACAACCACTGTAGCAAACCTACCACCACACAAAACAACCAGTGTCAAACCTACAACCACACATAACAACCACTGTGTCAAACCTACAACCACACATAGCAACCACTGTAGCAAACCTACAACCATACATAACAACCACTTTAGCAAATCTACAACCTCACATAACAACCACTGTGTCAAACCCACAACCACACATAACAACCACTGTAGCAAACTACAACCACACATAACAACCACTGTGTCAAACCTACAACCACACATAACAACCACTGTAGCAAACCTACAACCACACATAACAACCACTATGTCAAACTTACAACCACACATAACAACCACTGTGTCAAACCTACAACCACACATAACAACCACTGTGTCAAACCTACAACCACTGTGTCAAACCTACAACCACAAATAACAACCACTGTAGCAAACCTACAACCACACATAACAACCACTATGTCAAACCTACAACCACACATAACAACCACTGTGCCAAACCTACAACCACACATAACAACCACTGTGTAAAACCTACAACCACACATAACAACCACTGTGGCAAACCTACAACCACACATAACAACCACTGTGGCAAACCTACAACCACACATAACAACCACTGTGGCAAACCTACAACCACACATAACAACCACTGTGTAAAACCTACAACCACACATAACAACCACTGTAGCAAATCTACAACCACACATAACAACCACTGTGTCAAACCTACAACAACACATAACAACCACTGTAGCAAACCTACAACCACACAAAACAACCACTGTGTCAAACCTACAACCACTGTGTCAAACCTACAACCACACATAACAACCACTGTGTCAAACCTACAACCACACATAACAACCACTTTGCAATCCCTACAATCATAAAACAACACTCAAATACACCTTATTGTCAACTCTAAAACAATCACTGGACATGTGAATTGCGGAAGCTGAGGTGTTTTTTTTAAACTTCAGCAAATCAATACAGACAACTAAAGTACACATGTGTACTGTAACATAAGGCCGTTTGGTTCATTAAGGACACATCAGTTGTACTAAACGTCTGGAAAAAAAGAAAATTAATGTTTAAAGTATTCTGAAATAAGTGCAGAAAATAGAATAAGGGGGAGGTTGCGTATATAAAACCGTGAATAACATTACAGATATATTATTGAACTACATTTTGTATTATGTTATGTTAACGGTGCCAGAATATATTCCACAAACAAGGCTTCGGCCAACCCAAAGGACTAAAAGCCAACCAGAAGTCAACCATTTGTTGAAATTAAAAGTTTTTATCAAAACGAAGTGAGAAAGGAACATTACAAAAATGCAACAAGCATCATATCATACAATTATATAAAAGTAACATCGCAGTGCCAGCCCTAAAACATTTCAATAATGTACATATCGCCACCCCCACCACCCTCAAACATAACAATAATACAGCATTCCGTAAAACCTCCAACAATATAGCATATTGTTCACCCTCAAACATTACAATAATACAACATCTCGTAAAACCTCCAACAATACAGCACAGCGTTCACCCTCAAACATTTCAATAATACAACATCTCGTAAAACCTCCAACAATATAGCACAGTGTTCACCCTCACACATTACAATAATACAACACCCCGTAAAACCTCAAACAACTGGTAACTTTACGACAGGATCAACCTTCCTGATATCTTCCCCATTCTAATGGTGATATCTAACATAACAAGTGATAAGCTACCGATTTTAAAATTCGACTCTAACAAAACAGATATTTTAACTTTCCACTAAGCTATACATATATTAAACATTGTTAAGTTCATCCGTTACTGGACTTACCTGTGATTGGTTATTTGGCATGTATATAACACATTTGTAACCAAGTGCCAGACAAATATGCGCCAATCCAATCCCAGTGTTTCCCGCTGTTCCTTCTACCACCGTTCCTCCAGGTTTTATAAGCCCTAGAAAGACCATTCAACATATCAATGGAATGTTCAACTAAATAGGGTATCTAATATCTGTAACTACTAAAGCATTAGTGTATCCATGCAGAGCCACAGTACCTTTATGCTCAGCGTCCCTGATGAGGAACAACGCCGCCCTGTCCTTTACAGACCCTCCGCCGTTACAAAACTCTGCCTTGGCCAGTATCTCGCAACCTTTCAGACGAAAACAATAATTGATTTAGTCAACACCTAGTTTTCTTGGCCAGTATCTCGCAACCTTTCAGACGAAAACAATCATTGATTTAGTCAACACCTAGTTTTCTTGGCCAGTATCTCGCAACCTTTCAGACGAAAACAATCATTGATTTAGTCAACACCTAGTTTTCTTGGCCAGTATCTCGCAACCTTTCAGACGAAAACAATCATTGATTTAGTCAACACCTAGTTTTCTTGGCCAGTATCTCGCAACCTTTCAGACGAAAACAATCATTGATTTAGTCAACACCTAGTTTTCTTGGCCAGTATCTCGCAACCTTTCAGACGAAAACAATCATTGATTTAGTCAACACCTAGTTTTCTTGGCCAGTATCTCGCAACCTTTCAGACGAAAACAATCATTGATTTAGTCAACACCTAGTTTTCTTGGCCAGTATCTCGCAACCTTTCAGACGAAAACAATCATTGATTTAGTCAACACCTAGTTTTCTTGGCCAGTATCTCGCAACCTTTCAGACGAAAACAATCATTGATTTAGTCAACACCTAGTTTTCTTGGCCAGTATCTCGCAACCTTTCAGACGAAAACAATCATTGATTTAGTCAACACCTAGTTTTCTTGGCCAGTATCTCGCAACCTTTCAGACGAAAACAATCATTGATTTAGTCAACACCTAGTTTTCTTGGCCAGTATCTCGCAACCTTTCAGACGAAAACAATCATTGATTTAGTCAACACCTAGTTTTCTTGGCCAGTATCTCGCAACCTTTCAGACGAAAACAATCATTGATTTAGTCAACACCTAGTTTTCTTGGCCAGTATCTCGCAACCTTTCAGACGAAAACAATCATTGATTTAGTCAACACCTAGTTTTCTTGGCCAGTATCTCGCAACCTTTCAGACGAAAACAATCATTGATTTAGTCAACACCTAGTTTTCTTGGCCAGTATCTCGCAACCTTTCAGACGAAAACAATCATTGATTTAGTCAACACCTAGTTTTCTTGGCCAGTATCTCGCAACCTTTCAGACGAAAACAATCATTGATTTAGTCAACACCTAGTTTTCTTGGCCAGTATCTCGCAACCTTTCAGACGAAAACAATCATTGATTTAGTCAACACCTAGTTTTCTTGGCCAGTATCTCGCAACGTTTCAGATGAAAACAATCATTGATTTAGTCAACACCTAGTTTTCTTGGCCAGTATCTCGCAACGTTTCAGGCGAAAGCAATTATTGATTTAGTCAACACCTAGTTTTCTTGGCCAGTATCTCGCAACGTTTCAGATGAAAACAATTATTGATTTAGTCAACACCTAGTTTTCTCAGTGATATTAACTTACGGTGTCATCACAACAGATTTTATTACAGAATAAATGTATAAAAAATAGTTGCGGACGTTTATAGTATACGTAAAGTAGATTTACAATAGATTCTATAACATTGTGAGCGTCGTTGATTTACCTGTTTCGTCACTGAGCTTATTCAAACGCACTAGCGGTGTTCTATAAAATTAAAGAAGAAAGGAAGCAAATAAGAAATTATTAAATGTTTTTTTTAATTGTTTATGATTGAAAGGTCAACACCTGATGCAGGATATAAAGCCGAAATGGAACAGCATTCAAGTAAATTGATATAAAGACATAAAACCTTGGCGGTAAAACAACGCTCAGAAAGGGCACGCGTCCTCCTAATACCTTAAACAAGCACGGAGGACGCACTTTAAAAAAATGGGTAAGTCGATATGAAGTGCTAAGTAAAGAAAATGTGTAATGCATCATATAGCCATTTCGTCAATTTAGGACTTGTCAAATGTTTTAAAGGGAAAAAAGACTATAAATACGTGTCTAACATTTTCTAAAATGTATGCTGAAATACACCAAAAGAGGAAAGGTGAATTATAAAAAAAGAACAGAATACAAATAGCAACTTAAAATATAATCAGGAATATCCATCCACACAATTCACTGAAACTTCACACAACTTGTTTCCATATACTTCATCACAAATTGATAAAACACTTAGCATCAGGGTAAAGGGTACAGCTTTTTCCAAACATTCAAATTGTGAAGAACTCAAATACAATTCTGTCTATTGGATGACAATACATGATTTTATAAAGTATTTCTTTTGAAAATGTTTCAAACGATTATTTTATATCAGTGACAATGTACCCTTTACCTGTAAGCAAACATACAAAATGTCATGGCCTAACATTATTCTATTTAGTGCAGATACATATCGTATTTTTTTAGAAAGTGTTTAGACAACAACAAAGCAAAAATGTGCAATAATATGCATGAATAAGTATAGTGATCAACGTAATTCCATTCTCTGACATTACCCTCCTCACTTTATCCTCCTCACTAATATAAAACAGAATAGTGTTCCAGTGACGGATGTACATACCTTCCCACCATACCCACGAGACCTTGTCTGATGGCGGCGTCCTGTAAAATGGAATGTGTAATATGAACGACAGTTCAGTATTGAATACCATATATAGTAGTAGTTCGTAAATTCCAATAGTCTTACAAGAGATACAAGATGCAAAAACCTTTATTTTACGTCGATTGGTTACTACAGATAAGCTCTCAGAAGCTTGTGTTTGACAAACATTGTACAATTAGAGGGTTAGACAAAACAGTAATATACAAAGAGAAACCAAAGTCTTACGGATGTTTATACAGAAGATAAAGAAATAGTGAAATCGAGAAAAGAAGATGATCCCCATTGTCATAGAGAATGAAAGTTAGGGGCTATTATTGCTATCCTGTAAGTAAAATCCAATGTGTGAAGCTGAAGGAAGTCTATAGTAGCTTTAATCTCAAGTTCTGGAAGATACCGGTAAATTGAATGAAAGAGGTTATCAGGGCATCTCATATTATGCTACTCAGGAACCAAAAATCATTATTACATCTGAATGTGAAATTATAAGATACGACAAGTATGTTATCTCTTTTTAATAGTCCTTTAAAAGAAAGTGGGAAAGATCTGTGAAAATAAATGTCATACATAGCCTTAATTTTTGAATGTTGTAGATGCTAAGCAGCTTTCATCATAATCCGATAGACGGACTGCCGTGAGTATAAAACACGACTGGTAAGAAGTCGAGGATAATGTGTCTCCATGCAACTTTGGTCCTTCATTTCAATAAAAATAAAGCATTATCCTTGCTAGAAGTGCGATATTTACTAAATCAGTATCAGTTCTATTGACAACAGATATTTGCATCAGTGCTCGTACCAAAGCCACTAGTTAAGGGTGGAATGCGAAATTCTGGTTCCAGCCATAATGATCGCAAAATGTTATCAGAGTCGACTGAAAATCATGACCCAGGTTGGCATTTTAGGTAATTCTGCACTGCCTGTCGATGTTGTTTTGGTAACAATGATAAAACGTTTCTACTACATCGTCTGAACATAAGGGAAAGGGTATAAACTCAAAGTCGGTAAAAAAAAAATATGGCAACATTAGGAACCGAATGGGAAACTCGAGAA